ATACTATGCAATTTATTTATCAAAACTTTAAGCATATTATATATTAATTTTGTTTATTGTTTGATATATTTAAATGTTGATATTAGTTTTTAATCACTATCGTATCAACACAATAAATTATTGCCACACTCCTGATTTTCAATAAAAGAATTTAATTTTTTAATGCTTCCGTGGCATGATAGGTATAGAGTTCTCTGGAATTTTGAAAAAAAAAACCTAGGGTGTTGAGCTGTTGGTGAAAAAAAGGTTGAGAACCACTATACATTGCACGTTGGTTATGGCTTTTGTTATGGTTTTGAGTGAACCATTTAAATGAACACATCAAATGTTAGGTTATTGTAAACAATTTAAAAGCCATTATTATCATAATTAAAAGCGGTTCTAGGCAGGACTGTTTTTATTTTACGAAAGTAATTTATGAACATTCTCTTATATGAAATTCTACATTTAACTTAAATTTGAAGTGTTTTCCAGGAATAAAACTTATTGAAATAGTATTTAAAAAGGATAACTAACTTTTTCAGTTTTGTGAAAAATTTTACTACTATGACTGTACACACAATTAAAAATAGTAAGACATAATATTATTATATTAATAACATAAGATTATCTTTATTTTACCATTAGCTTGTTTTTATAATTTATACCAGATATATGACAAACATATTCATAAAATAATTAATTATCATAAAGTTATTTCGAGTATTAAATGTTAGTAATATGAAAGCATCGTCAGATCTAGGTGGATAAAAATATGACAGTAACAATAAAGTCATGTCTGAGCTTTAGTGTTTATAACATTAGTATATCACTTTCTCTTTTATTTAGATATCTGTCACTGTGCTTATTATGTTTGAAGAGTATTATAAAAATTGTAAAAWTTTTTAAATTTTTTCCTGTTTTCAACAAAATACTCGTAGTTCTAGGTACCTCAGGTACCTGAAATTGTATATATAAATTGTAATACAATAAAAACCATACACAAACATATTATTAGTTATGCAATATCGTTATGATTCATAAATTTATTATATTTAGCTAATCCAGAAAAAATAATATAGATCACCTCATGCAAAATTACGTAAAAACCTGTGAATAACATTATGATAATTTGACCATTAAATAACCATTTATTTCGAAATTCGTATAAACTCTACAAAGTAATACATATTTATAACTACTGTTAATAGATTAATACCACAGTAATAATACTACTTAATTACAAATGTATTAGAAGTGTACATTAATAAAATCCAATAATAGTAGTAACTATTTAGAAGGTTTTGGCTTTTTATAATTATTATGGAAAATATTAAGTTTCAAAGTACTATTTATACATCGATTTATGATTTATAAAGTAACCTAGGTATATATTAAGAAGTTAAAACCCCAAAAAATAATTATGTTTAAATATACCTTAAAGGCGTAAAGAAATTTAATTTGTATTTTCATATAAAATAATATACGACGATTATTGTGATTCCGTTATTGTAATAGGTGTGGTTTGTATTTAATTTGATATCTAATAGCAACTAAACATTTATACATGTTTGTGTRTAATTAATAATTAGTTATCATAGATTTTTATCGATAAGATGTTGCGATTTGATGTGTAACCAATAAAACACTCTTAAAAATAACTGAATAGAATATCACATCAACGATCATCAAGTCAAATTATTATCTTCGGTTAATATAAATTAAATAAATTTGAATTTAATTTAAAAGCCGAATAAGCTGAAAGATTATTTTATCAAATATCACTCATATTAAAATGTCGGCAATTATAATCTTTATTCTTTGTCTAGACACGTTACTATTTGTTGTGAGGATGATGTAATACATTATACCTATAATTCTTGCAATATCTAAATTTTATATTGACTTAATTTGTCTATTTTTAAATTTTATAAAACTTGCTGGTTAAACTGCTAACAACTTTYGATTTTTAAATTTTAACTTTTTAAAATCAAAATTCTTGGAATAATAATAAATCACTTTTAATAGAACTAAAGTTTAAATCATTCACTCTAATAGAAAAAAGCCCCGTGCGTTTGTCATGGATAGGTACTGTRAAAACGGTATCGATTAAAATGATTTAATCTATTTTCAGACCTCTTCTATGTATTAAAATCGAATTTTGACCGGATAGTTTATATGAGTAATTGTATAATATATTTAAGTTTAGATACGGAGATGATGTACAGTATACCGCGAATAATGTAGATATACTAAGCTCATCTAAACTTTAAATACTTATAAATTATAACTAATTAACCATCAAAATACTTCAAATAATATTCTGATTTGAAATATGAAATTAAATAATTAAAATAATTGTATACGAATAACGATTCTGAGTGAATACGGTATGTCATACTTGTATAAATAATCAATTTTAATAATTAATAAAAATCCTCATGGGTGACTTTCTGGTAAACTTTTTTGTTGTTAAAATTAGAAGTACTCGAGAAGAATATTTTATCAAGCTTTAAAATGTTACCTATGAAATGAAAATTTTTATGAATTTCTAACAAAAAAATAATTTGCAAATTATCGTAAAAAAGTTTTATTAAATGTTAATAAATATACAAAATAATCCCGTMAATCTATTTTCAATATTTTTGACTAGATTATGTTGAACTTTGCATTGCATTTTGAAATTAATTATATAAATATAATAAATTATATAATATTATATAATAAATTGCATTTTGAAACTTTTTAAACAATCAAAAAATTATGTTTATACCTATTATAGCTTTGATACTAATATATTATTGCAACATTTCATAAACGTTTGATTTTAAGCTATTTATACCATGAACCTATTATTATTTTTCACATTTCACGATACATCAATATTGACTTACGCTAATAACAGCTAGTAATTTAATGGAAAATAATATTATAGTAATTTCTATAAAACATAATATGTGATTTAGTTTTACTAAAAATGAATTCAGCATTTAAACCAACCGTATTTATTTTAATAAAATAAATTAATAATAGAAATAGAAATAGAAATGTATAATTAAATAGTTTTAGTCATACATATACTGACATATATACTGAGTCATATATATATATACTAGTCATACATATACTGACATGTCTTACCTAATTTCCTGTATTAATATTATTTTTATAAATATGTTATGCAATCTGTATATACTATGTTTTATTGGTTTTAATTGTATATTTACCCTAGAAAACACGAGTCGTTGGTCATAAAGCAAAAATAATTAATTACATAATTTATGTAGTTCTTAAACCTATGTGTTAATTAAATTTTGGTTTGAAGGTTAACGGCTATAATGGAGTGGATGATATTAGGTATGGATTGCTTAGTATTTCTGCTAGTGATCAATATTTACTTATTTTATTCAAATGTACAGATACATATTTTATCTGAATAGAAATTTAATTCGAAGGTATTACCAATCAACAATATTTTTTCTCACTCAATTATTTAAATTACAATATCGAATTGTATTGGTTAGTATTGGATTGTAATTTATTGTAAACGTAAAAACGGTTAGATACTATACATTTATGCGACTAAAAACAAACAAAATCTTTGCATTTACAAATTTAAATCAATATGACTAATAAATTATATTATTTTATTCACACAATAAATTAAAATGGAAATGTAAATACAAAATCGCACATTTTATTTTAAATTCTGAAAAGATTCGGGAATGTATTGRTTTTATAATAGTATACCTTTCTTTCGGATCGGATACAAGAAACACTCCAAACATTTCATGTAGCTAATCGAATGGAAATATTGAACACAGATGGTCTTTAGATTACAGAAATCTACAAAAATAAATAGACACCCAAGTCAAAATCTACGAAAACGTTTAAATTTACGTTGCACTCGTCTTAAATAAGACCAATTTTGGTTGTCGAAGTACGTATAACTCAGAAAATAATAATATWAACGCTCAAAAACAWTCATTAATTATTTGATTTAATGTTTTCTATACATAATTTTTTTTTACTGTTTTAACATTATATAGCAACGTAGCAAGTATTCTTATTGTAATAGTTTTTTTCGGTTTCATTTTGTATAATTATAAATACCATTTATATCTCAAATTTAGTTATTGAATACAAATTTAACAWGATTTTTTAATTAATAATAATAATAAAATTATTATAATGCAATATGAATAACAAAATATTACAGACATGTACATTAATAAAAACCGAATAATAAAGGTGATTAGGTTCTAAATTTACGATTTGATAAAATAGAAAGCTTACGAATTTTAAGTATTATCTTAATTCCTATATTTATGATTATAAAGAATTTATTATAAAAATTTATCAAAAAACAGTACCCTATTATAATCAATTAATTTATTGTCAGCTTAACTATTACTTTTTTTTTTAAAGATTATTTATCATTTCGTTYAAATTTAAAGATAGTTTAACAAGTTCACTATTTAATTTTTGTTCTATTTTATTTGGTATAGTAATTATAAATTGTTTTTATCTGCTAACAAATAAAATATGTTTTTATCACTTCATAGATAGTGAATCATATAGGTTGTAATGTATAGGTATGATAACCTGAATCATAATATTAGATTAACCAACAAAAGGAATTTTGTACAAACGGTTTTACAAAAATGTATATTTGAACAATGATAGAATTTTAAATACTTTTTTACTTTACTACTTTACAACACTTTAAAATATATATATATGAATTTTACTTAATAAATTATATAAAGTATATTGTCATCAATCTATTTTAAAAGTTTTCAATACTCATTAACATTAGTCAAAAAATATCGTTACCAGTAAATAGATACATTTTTCACTTTAAAATAAAAATTATGTTTTGTGTTTGCCATATTTCAGTGTCAATGTATGATAATATTGTTATATCTATTGTTCTAGAGAAGGGGTTTTGAATGAAACATTAATTTTATGAGAACCTGTTATACCTGTACAAGAACCTACGTTTAGTAGTGGCACATTGGCTATTATGCATTGCATTCTTATGATATAAACTTCATGATGCACAGTTAATTTGTTTTWTATTTAAAATACAACAGTTATAAGTTATTTGATTAACTTATGGAGTTTAAACAGTATTTCAATCTTTGGAAAAAATATTATTTAAATAATAATAACTTTAATCCAAAGAAGTAAAAACCATTTATTACAGTTGAACGATAATCAAATTGGATAAATATCTATTATTAATCAAATCCAAACGTGAGTTAATACAACATTAGCATTAATATTATATTCTAATTTAATATAATTTTAGTTTAAACTTTATGGTAATATATAGTTTAGTT